GCCCTCAGTGGTTGAAGAGCAGTGGGCAACATGTTTTGTGGTATCTCTGCCATCTTTCTTCAAAGTGTGGGGAATGTATTTTCACTCGGTCCACCTTCTTGGTCCATGATCATAAAAGGAATCCAAATCTACTTACTCCTTTGCAGATGGAAACGGCCTCCTTGGACAAGGATTTTGGATAAGAAACGTTATGCTCCATTATCGACTGAAAGAGTTCATCTTCATCTTCACCGTCAAAGGGAGGCTGTTGTGGGCAAGAGAAGATGGGAAGCTAGTTAGGCAGAGTCATTCACTGACAGGCATCTGAAGATGCAGTTCCACACCTGCAAACAGACCCAGTTTCTCCACCAGCTTGGGCTGCAGAGTTAGGTGTTACTGTGTGGGCTTTAACACCTATCTTTAATTAGGTTGGCGGTTGTGTGCTTTTCATTTTTCCTCTGTCTCTTCAATCATCTTGCTCTGGGCAGCCCAAAACAATCTTTAGGGGAAATGTTTTTGAATAATGATTTGCAAATAAATTATAATTAATCCATTAATCTTGTAATTATGTGCTGAAAATCTAATTATGATCAAGTTAGGTTACAGATGGCTTTGTGTTCAGAAGGTGGAGGGGGGTGGGAAATGCTAACAGTGCCTTTGAATTCTGCACATGGGGTGAAGTGGCCTTCAGAACACAGAGGACTTCTTCCTTGGCCCAGGAATCTACCCAGGGTCCTTCTCCCAGAACAAAGAACTGCTCTGCAGTGAGCCTACGTTTCAAGAGAGAAGAAGGTTGCCTAATGGTGGCAGGGGACGGGAGCTTAGCTTCCACTTGACACTGGCCTTATCCTCGTCTCTTGGGTTTATAATTCCAGTACATAGAAAGGGAGGCATGGGAGCACTGTGGAGAGGGGTGTGTGTGTGTGAGAGATGGCTTTAAAGTCAAATGCATCTGGGGCAGAATTCTAGACTTACCACTTCCTTGCTGGACATCCACAGGCAAGTGATTTCCTCTTTTTAGAGGCAGTTTTCCAGTTCTTAAAATGGGGTTTCTGGTGAGTATGTAAGGCACCCACTTTTTTGCATTGTACTCAGTGGGTGCCCCGTGATGGGCCAGTGCTGTTCAGGTAGCGGCCCTGGCTTGAGGGGCTGCTAGAATCCTCCCTGAGGGAAGGCAGAGCTCTGGACGCCCCTTTACCTGAGCGCCTTGAATTCTGAGGGTTCTGTTGGATTACCTGTCATTCTGGCTGGAGGGTGCATGGGTTTGGGAGGATTTATGGAAAACTTTCCTAATGTTGTTGTTGTTGTTATATGCCGTCGAGTCAGACC